TTTTTTTTTTTTTTTTTTTGTTTATATATATGTACTAAGGGAGGAGGGAGTAGACTGCCCCCAACCCTGACATTTCCCTGGGGATTATTCTGCCCCGTTCCTCTGGGTATGTCTCTACATTACAAATCGTTCTGGAGGCCGGCGTTCTCTCTTGGGGTAGCGGTGGACCGCGTTGCAGTCTGGTGAGGCCACACTGCTATCAACAGAAGCCGTCGATTTAAGTAAGGGGCCCGTTGATTGTTCTGTGTTTCACTTAGCCGAAGGGATGGGTCCATCCGACATAGGATCCACTGCAGGTGGTGTGTCGCAGGTGGATGTGTGTGTGGTCGGGTGAAGCCGGTCAAAGGCCCCACCACCATGCCCCCATGAAGCTTCCTGTGGAAGGCCAGGTTCAGCAAGCAGCTGGTCATTATGCCTTTTCCAGACAATGTCCTCTGCTGTTTTGACTGTATAGGACATGGGACCTGTTTGTGCCGTAACTGTGGCCGGCACCCATTTTGGTTCATGATTATAGTTACGTGCTAGAACATGTTCACCTGGGTGGAAACCCCGCTCCTATGCAGTTCGTCCGTGTTTCTCAATCTACACTCTTTGCTTCTGGAGCACAGTTTGCTTAGTCTTTGGTGGTTTCAGCAGGTCAAGGTTTGTCCGGAGTTGTCTATTCAAGAGAAGTGTGGCAGGAGCCACTTTGATAGTTGAATGTGCAACATTTCTGTAGGATAACAAGAAGTTGTTTAATCGCTGATGCAGAGAGCCCTGTCCTCGTGAAGACCTTAAAGCATTTTTCAAGCTCTGAACAAATCTCTCAGCTAATCCATTGGTGGATGGGTGGTATGGAGCAGTGCGAATGTGTTGAACCCTGTTTAGCTCGAGGAACCTTCCAAACTCCTGTGACACAAACTGAGGGCCATTATCTCTCACAAGCTGCTCGGGGAAGCCGAATCGGCTGAACATTTCGCCGAGTCTTTCAATGGTTTTCTCCGTAGTAGTAGACCTCATGATGAACACCTCTGGCCATTTACTATGTGCATCTACTGCCACCAGAAACATTCGATCTTCGAATGGCCCCGCAAAGTCAATGTGGACACGCTGCCACGGCTCCTCTAGCCAGTCCCATGGGTGTAGAGGGGCTGGTGGTGGCATGCAGCGGTTAGTTTGGCATGATGGGCATGTTCTTGCGGTCTCTTCAATTTGTCTATCTAGTCCGGGCCACCAGAAGTAGCTTCTGGCAAGCTCCTTCATACGCACCATTCCACAGTGGCCTATGTGTAGTTGCTGCAGGAGTATTTTCCTCAAGGCTGGTGGTATGATCACTTGATTTCCCCATAGGAGGCATCCTGCTTGTACTGAGAGTTCATTCCTTTTTGGAAGATATGGTTTTAACATTTATGGTGACCTTGAAATCGCCGCAAATCCTTACGGAGCCATCTTTTTTAAGAACCGGTACAATTGGTGTCGCCCAGTTGCTCTGACTGACAGGCTCTAACATTCCCTCTTTTACCAAGGATTCTAGCTCTGCCTCTACCTTCGGCCTTATTGTGTAAGGGACTGGTCTGGCTGTCATAAACTTGGGTGTGCTATCCACTTTAACCTTCAGGTTAACCTTAACCCCTGGGAGTCGGCAGACCCGCCGGCGGGGACACTTGCATTTTTTTCTGGTAACCGTGAAAAGAACTTAAAATGCGTCGTCATGTTTGATCAT